ATGCACCAATACTGGCGCTGCCAGACCCTGATCGTCCTTTCAGCGTCTTCTGTGACGCTTCAGAATTTGCCATCGGCTGTGCACTGCTGCAAGCAGACGCCGAGGGGCAAGATCGGGTAGCTCAAAGCTGCAGAAAGAACTACCTAGTTCATGACAATGAGCTACTTGCGATGAAGTATGCACTTATCAAGTTCAGGGTCCACCTGCTCGGCTCCAAGCCGTTACCGATCTAAACAGATCATGCGACACTACGTACTGCGACTCAGTCGCCACACCTCTCGCAGAGGCTGGCTAGATGGCTATCCTTCTTTGCGGAATATAACGTCGAGATATATATAAGCCGGGAAAGCAGAATGCTTTGGCTGACGCGTTTGTCACGCAAACCAGACTATGAGCTTGCTTATGTTACAACTGTAACGACAGATTTATCCGCACCGCGTATGCGGGTGATGAGATGTGTGTAGCGTTGCTAAGGGCTCTAGAGAGCATGGTGTTTGGAAACTCGGACAAGAGATTGTCACAAAGACTGCCTGCACGATTGCACCGATATTCGTTGAATAACGGGTTGCTCTACTATATTACCGATTCAACGGATACACCACGAATTGTGGTTCCTCATGATGGGAATTTGAAATACCGCATTCTCTATGAGGCTCACGACACGCCACTCCATGGTCATCTCGGTCGTGAGAAAACGTACAACTCTGTGAGTCATCACTATTGGTGGCCCAGCTTGTACAAATGGACGAGCACCTATGTGCGAACGCGTGAGATATGTCAACGGGTAAAACCCTCTCCAAATGCGACTGCGCAGCTGGCCAGCTTACCTGTACCCACTGGGCGCTGGCTGTACATGAGTTTAGACTTTGTGTTCGGCCTGCCGAAAGATCCGGCGGGCAACACGGTTGTCGTGGTATTTGTCGACCGGTTGAGCGGCTCATTTGGCGGCGGTGCAAGACACCATCGACGGAGTCGGTACAGCTACGCTGATCGTGGATCGTGTTTTCCGACAACACGGTCCCCCCAGAGTCGATTGTCTCAGGTAGAGACCTCTGTTTCACGGTAAAATTTTGGTTGACTATCGTCAAGGTT